GGACAATCTTTTTTGAACAGATCGAAAACTCCACTGAAAGGGAAAAGAAAACAGGGGACGTTAGCGCCTTTCCTAGCTGCTGGCTCGAAGGCTAGTGATGCATCCATCTGCTGATGAATGATGCCTGATGCTGGCAGCGGCTAAGAACAGAATCCCTTTCTCTCCTCTCGTGCCTGAATTTTCAACGTCATGACAATTCTCATTTCAATCCTTCGACTGCCGCCGCATGCGGTCGACCTTGAACGGCATCTGGTGAAACAAGACGATATAAAGCCAATATCGGCTATCTGACCTGTCGCCTGGGACTTTTCACGAAAAGGCCAAAAGCCGTTTGAGGATGCGATTGAAGCCACCGTACCAGATCCACTCAGACTAATCTGCACAACGTGAGGCACATCATTAGCATCGCCGGCGCCTATAACCTGCGCTAGCTGTAAGTGCCTGCGTTGGGACTAAGCCGGATTCGAAAGGGCAGAGGACGAGGAAAAGCCGGAGACCTCGTTGTCCCTCGTCGAAAAAATCTCATCCATGATGGTCACAGGTCCAGCGGAATTCGAATCTACGACGTAGCAGAGCTCTCAAATTTATCATTCTCAACCCCAGCTAGCAGTTCCGTGTCCACTTGTTTGCTTTCATCGTGTCAACTTTCAGATGCCATCTCATCTTCAACACGGCGAGCTTGGTGGTTGGAAGGTGAACAACAGTGCAGATAAAGACAAAGAATGCTGACCGGTACTCCTTACTGCACCTGCCAGGGACAACAATGCATCACACCTGTAGGAATCATGACCTGGATGTACCTACATATTCAACCCTCTCTTCGAGACGTCGCCTTGGCTCGGCTTCGGAAAGCCTCGCTTCCAGGTTCCAACCTCCGAAGAGAAAAGACCTGGAGTACCTTACACAGCTTACATAACCTTACCGGACTCTTGACACTTCGCATCTTTTCTCTGCCAGGCACAGGTACACGCTGCCAGTCCATTGTGAGAGGCCGGGTGCCATGAAACCAGCATCCAACACAGGCACACGTGAGGATTCAACTTGGCCATCTGGCATCGCCGGTGTAAACCTCCTCGAGGCGGTCCTGGGTCCTGGTTTCTGATCTCCTTCTCCACTCCACCATCTTGGAGCTTGGATCAACTTGACGTCTTCTTCCATTGAAGTTCACGTCTATCTCCGCGGCGGTCTCCTGTCGCATCAAGGGGATTTCTCCCGAGCCAGGCACAAAGGCAAGGAACAAAATCGAGGCACCGGAGAGATGCTCCACCGCCGTCAGGTACACATAGCATCAACGTCAGTTTCATCTAGGACGATGGCTGTTAGCAAAGACATGTCATCAACATGACACTGACAAGTCTGCCCTGGGCGTCCCTCAGTCCCGATGACAGGTCTGATGCAACCATGACCCTAGCTTTGCTTACATACGTCAGGACCGCAAGGTACCTTACGGTATTGCGAAGGCCCTTCCGCGTGCCCCTGGGACCTGACAGGAAGTTCCTGAGCCATCGTGGCCAGTCGTTTTGGAGGTCATCTGCAAGCTCTATAACACATCTATAGCTGGGGCTATATCGACCACGCTGGTGACCACTAAAATCCCATCCCGAAGAGGATCCCGAAGACGGATACAATCCCTCTTGGGTCTTGGCTGGCCAACTGGCCGGCCGACTCCGATTCATGTGGCTTTTGATGCATCATCATCCTCCGTCCCCATCTTTGGGCTCCGTGATCTCGGATCTCTCAATATGCGTTGGGCAGCTCTTCTTCGCTTACCTTTGCCGCGCCTGGTATCTGGTTGCTGGGCAGTGAGCAATAGTTAAGCTGGGCGTTGAGCTTTAATAGTTTGCTATAGCTTCCCCGCATCGGCACCGGCACACTCTCGGGCTGGTCTTGCCTGAGATTGGGAAGCTGTTCCTGATTTTAAAACATTTCAAACATGAAACCAACCAGGCCAACCAACAATACTGGGCACGATGACATGCGCCTCCTGCGCCGTCGATATCGCCCCATTTTCTTAACCCATCCTACCGTCGCCGCGTTTAACGCGGGTGTTCAAGGATCGACAGCAAGGTGAGGAGATCTCAAATTGTTGCAAGTTTCAAAAGCTCCATGATGCGCACTTGCAACAGTCCGTATCGCTCGCCAAGAAAACCGCAGTTCATTGTTCGCAGTTCGCAGTTCACAATGAGAAAAGAAACGAAACGAAATGAAACAAAAGCCCAAAGTCCAAATCCCACAGCAAGAGCCGCATTCCCCATCAGGTGTCTGCGGGGTATCTTGGGAAAAAAAGGGTTCCGGGACAGATCACTGGTCCGCCCATCGACGTTGCATCGTGATATCGTGAGCAACTGTGAGGATCGTAGTGACTAGGGAGGGGTCTTTCTGGTCTTGGCGCTGGGTTTGGGGTGTCAAAAAGTTCATGCTACGCAAGTGCGCGAATGGTGCGAAGGGAGTGCAAAGGCGATCAAAAGGGTGTAACCAGTCCAATCATTGGGGAAGACAAGAGGTGGGAGGACAGAGGGGGCGATATCCGATTTGACAATGAAGACGACGACGACGACGATGAAGGGGTGGTGTGATGCAGCGGTGATCATTTCGCGCGCCCGTTTAAATCCCGTAAAACAATATTCCATCAGGCTTTGGATGGGGAAAAAGCCCCCCTAAAAAAGAGAAATAAAAAAAGAATGGGGAGCAGAGTCCATCGCAAGCACCTTCTTAAGGGCAGTTTCCGAGCCCATCGTAAGCAACAACTTGGAATCCACATCCGTCTTCCAAATCGGGTATGGTGTAGCGGTAACATCGTTGACTCTCACTTCTTCAGGAGTGACTGCTCTCTCTCAACAGCCCCGGGTTCGACTCCCGGTATCCGAGTTACAATGACCGTTCTTTTTTTGCTGATTTTTCATTCTCTCTTGTTACTTCCGTGATCAGGTGTTTTGAAGCTTCTCCTTCTGTTCGTTCTTTTTTTTATGGATTTTGAACCGTCGTGTTGATCTTGAAGAATGCTGAGGACAAAATTTCATTTTTGTGCCGGACCGCGGTGGATCCGCAATACCGCCGGAGTGGGGCTCCGGCTCCGGCTCCGGGTCTGGGTCGGGTCGGGTCCGGGATTGAAGATGCGCACCCGGCCCGGTCCGGAACAGCAGTCATTGATGCCAGTACATGTTAAAGCGTGCTTCAAACGCCCAGTTCCAATACCGAATCTCCCAACTCTCGGTAACTCCTTGCCCTCTCCAAGGCATCCAGAAATACAGCAACGCCGTCAAGCCATCATCGGAATGTCACAGTAAGCTTAAGGCTCGAAGCCCCGTTTCACTTCCAAGATTCCTTCCCGCTTATCCTTCTGGCCTTCTGGCACATGCGAGGCGTGCGGGACGGACGAAAAGGGGGAAAAACATGAAACTTCTGACATGGGGGGTACAACAGACGGCACGGGTCACAATAACAGGGCTGACAGGTGACGTGTAACAAGAGCGTGCAACGTAATGGCCTAAAATAGTGGGTGAGAGCGCCGTCATGTTATATTTTATGGAAAAGGCACTTCAATGCTTGGAAAAGGGGAAGTGAAGTGTCAAATTGAGGTCAAGTCTTTGTTAGCAGTACCCGGGCTGTTAACCCACGAGCCAGATCTACTCGAGAACAAACATGAGCTACTACTGGAAAGGAAACGGTCAAAAGACCAACGAATCAGCGGGATATAGACTAGCTTTCGGTTTTAAGGCGATTCCCTTGATGCACTCAGACGTTCCTGGCTGAGGAACTTTGCTGTTGTTAGCGACAGGTCAAGACCAGACCGTAGAAAGAATATTTCGAAAAATGAAACAACAAGGGAGATAACACATTCGCTAATAAAATATCCTCAAGTTGCCAGTATCCCGTTGGTCCTTTGATGGTTTCCATCCGACACATAGCATACCTAGGATGACGTCCTCCTGTCCATTCAGAACCCGAAGGCGTGGCTGAAGTGAACAGAGTGAAGCGGAGGAGGCCAGGTAGCTTTGGGGGACAGTAGAGAAATACATAGAGGTACTTGACGGTGGTAAACCGAGATGGTGCCTGAGGATCTCTCTGGTCGAAGTTCTGCAAACTGCGGACCTGATATCTCAGATAGTTGAACCTGAGCCTGAATCTGAACCCGAACCCAGATTCTCCTGCGCTTTGAACGTTCCAAACTGTCCGGATAAGCTGGTGGACGGAGGACGGATTCATGAGAGGGATGCAGCCTCGCGATATTTGATCAATACAAGACTGTTTGCCAGATGGTGGCGGATAACTACCAGTACCACAGTCATTGAGTGTCCCAGAAGTCGGTCCAGTGCGTCAGGGACTCAGAGTGCGCTTACCCTTGGTTTGGTTGATGTACTGTACAAGAGGTGGCATTGGAAAAGCCCAAATGTAGTTTGATCCTCATCCGCAAAGCCAACATCATCCAGACATCCACGGCTTCTAAATGTCCCCTAATGTGATACTTAAATGCGGTTTTTGCTGCTTTTTTGTGCTTCATGCCAGTGGGATGAGGTTTCTCTCTCTTCCATGGACTTCCGAGTCGACGCTTCGAAGCCGGACGAGTAGCTGCGCTACCTCTGGGTTTACTTTTTTTCCAGCGCTTCAAATTCGGCATCGTACAAGGACACTTGTCAGGAACGCACTAATGCAGCACGTCAATAGGAAAACCGAGGACTGGAAAGTTGAGTAAGGGGTAGGAAGGCTGAAGGACAGGAAGGTTGACGAGCTTGGAAGTACGTCCGGTAGAGAAATCTTCAAGTGTCTTGAAGCATTTTGGGATAACAACATGCATTTCCTGAGCCAAAACCTCTCATGATCCAGTTTAGGCCTTAGATTTTCCAACTCAGCAGCCGGGACAAATCCACAAGAATCCCAACTTATGCAGTCTTCAGCATCTCGCCCTGTCCATACCCCCTCAAGTCTCTAGATCCTCTTAACCAAAAGACCAAAGTGCGATCAACCACCTCCCGGCCCTTCAACCCCCCTTTCTCTCCACTCTACCGCTTATAATGCCTCGTAAAATCATACCTAACACCCATCATCCCCAACAACACACTCTTCAACGCCCCTCCCCCATTCCCCTTCGTCTTGGGGTCCACCTCCCTCAAGACCTCCAAAAACTCATCCCCTTCCAAATCCGCCTGCCCACTCACCCTCCGAAAATTCTCCTGACTCAACGGGTTAATTATCTCCTTCCACTTCTCAATCCTCTTCTCACTATACAACCCCAAGATCTCCTCCTCATCGGCCTTTCCATCCCACACACCCGCCAAACAATCGTACAGTCCGCCGACGTCAACGAACCCACCGGTTATACCCAGTCCGCCCCAGGGGTTGCACAGGTGCGCGGCGTCGGCTACTAGCAAGATACGGCCGACGCGGAAGGAGGGCGCGCAGCGCTGGTGCATACGGTAGGGCGAGAGGGTGATTAGTTGGTATTTGTCGGGCGTGGGATGGCCGGGGAGCATGGATTGGAATTTGAAGGGTTGCCGCGACAAATACTGGGCGCGGGTGAGGTTGGGGACTTCGCCGTAGGTGATGCGGTAGAGGGCTGGGTGGGTGGAGGTGGCGGCGGCTATGCGTGCTGCCATCTATTGGAGAAGTAGAAGTTAGTGATGGGAGGAAAAAAGAGGAAAAGGGGTGATGGGAGCATGTGAAGTATGGAGGGACGGAAGGATGAAGGGATGGAAGACATACGAAGAAGTTCTCGGGATCGATGATGAAAAGGGGTGATGGGAGCATGTGAAGTATGGAGGGACGGAAGGATGAAGGGTTGGAAGACATACGAAGAAGTTCTCGGGATCGATGATGAAATTCGCGTCGGACCAGCCGAATTTGTCAAAGTCGTAGTAGGTCTGTTGGTTTGTCAGTCATCATGCACTTCCATGTCCTCATTCCCATGTCAATTAGTCCTGCCGAGCACCGGGTCCGAAACTCACATTCGTAGCAATAATCGTCCTATCCCACGTAAAGCCCGGGAACTCATCCCCAAACAGTCCCTTTCTAACCGCACTATTCGCTCCATCCGCTCCCACCACGATGTATCCCTCCCCACCGACTTTCTTGCTTTCTTTCACCTCTCCATCGTCGCCGGTAACCTCAACCTCAACCCACGCCCCCTTCTCCTCTCCCTTTCCTTCCTCCTTTCCGTCCTCCTTTTGCTCCCCGCCCTTTCCGCCTTTACCGTCCTCCTTACTTCTAGTTCCCAAACCCGTGTGCCCAACCCCCAAAACCTTATGCCTCCACAACACCTCCACCCCGCGCTCCAAACACTCCTCAAGCATCAACTTCAACAAATCTTGCAAAACAAGACAATGCGTTCTCATATCCTGCCCCTTTCCGTTTTTCTTTTTTGCCCCTTCGGTCCCCTCTGTCCCCCCTCCCTCTGTCTCTTTCTCTGTCTCTATACCCGTACCCGTACCATTACCCAACCCCCAAACACCCCTCGGAACACCCTCCAACCCCTCTAGCGCTACATCCCTCAACCCACTAGCATCAAACCCACCTAACTCTTCAAAAGTCCCCGGTTTTCGCCAGGTCATGGTGTCAAGAACCAAGCCGCGCTCCCGGATCTTGTCGATGATGCCGGCGCGGATAAATTCGGGGATGCAAGGGGTGCCGTAGTGCGCGGCGCGCGGTTGGGAGTCGACTTCGTGAGAGGCTTCGAGGATTGTTACGGGGATCCTGCTGGAAGGGGAAGAAGGGGAGGTGTGTTTGGAGAGGAGGAGGGCGAGGAGGAGGCCTGAGGGACCGGCGCCTACTATTAGGACCTGTGATGGTGACCGGTCAGCCATAGGTGGTATGCAAGGAGAGGCCAGAGCTTGTGGTAGTTGATTTGGGCTGGTTGCAGTAGTTGACTTACCCTCTTAAAGGGACGGGGTTGTTGTTCGTCAATCATGGTGGGCTCCTTTCTTTGCTGACATTCAAGGAGTCCAGTAATTTTGCTTCGCGAGACAAGGAGTTCAAGAACCCGACCAGTTGGATTTGGGACCGCATCGTCGTTATATCATCCCATCCTCCCAAATCCCAACGATCTTTCCAAGCGAGCAGCTTCCCTGCACCGGCTTCCCGGAGCCACGAGGGCGGAGGGTAGCATTCCATCACCGACGACTGCAGCGCTTACACACTGCTACGTATTTTGCCTATGCGGGGGAAGTTCGATAGCTTCGGTACCTTCTTTTGCCTATGCGGGGGAAGTTCGATAGCTTCGGTACCTTCTTTTGCCTATGCGGGGGAAGTTCGATAGCTTCGGTACCTTCTTTTGCCTATGTCCGGGGAAGTTCGATAGCTTCGGTACCTTCTTTTGCCTACCGTGGTTTTGTTGAGAGAGTTCGAATACCTACCATAGTCGAGTCTTGGGTCGCAACGCGTGAAACACTCGTGGTTTGCAGCAGTAGTGTAGTAGGCTCGGCGTGTGCCGTGGAAGTTTGTGGGTTCCGGTGCGGGGGATGAGGAGCCGGTGCCCGGCAGTGATGGGGCTTGAAGGCAAGGTGCAGTGGCGAATGATTCTCAAAATAAACACCGGGTAGCCAGAGTGAACACAATGGTAGGCACGGTTCCGACCCCTGGCAAGTATAAGATACCGGGCTGTATGGCCACTCGAGTGCTAGTAACCCGCGCGTTTTAGTACAACGCGACCGTCCATTCACGAGTCTACAAACAGTAGGTCTTTGTTTGCGTGTTTTTTCAAGACGGTTCTCCACAACAACTAGCATTTGTTTACCGCCTCCTTTGCTATTGCATTTTCCAAAACAATCAGCAATTCCCAGCATGCCGTTTCTCCAAATGGCCCTTTGAGAACAACAGAAGAAGATTATCGCAGAACATCCGCTCGGTGGTACTCTTGGCAGCATTCGAGATCAGTTGCGCGACTCCAACGAAGCCGACAAGATATATCGAGAATATATTGTAAAACTTCTAATACAGCTTGTCCTTACGACCGCAGCAGCCAAGTTTCCCTTTAACGTGGCACTTAGGCTACTTGACTTAGGACGGGATGTTTTTCTTGGGAAGATAGCAAATCTCGACCTATTTCGCCCTCTCGTCCGCCATGTCGTCTACAACTCCGACGACACCGCCATTTGGGGTGCCGTCTTTAGCCTCCTCGACACCTTGGCTCCCGACACTCCCCCTCTTTGTCCCACCGCCATGCCTACATTCAAAGGAACGCCTATTAAGACCAGTTCGAATAGGCTCGCTAATAGTGCAGGGTCGATCCTGTGGCAAAGGAATTGTTCTCGGAGATGAGATATTGCACCTTCCGCGATGTAGGGGGTTTTTGGGACAAATTCTTCAACCCCAAGAGCTGGCCCAACAAATACAAAGAGATGCTGGCTGAGATGAAGACAAAGCATGATGGAAAGACATGGACGGACTTCCCGCGTACTCATACTGAAGCACTAGTCTCGGCGTGGTTTCGCTCCCTGGAAAAGCCCTTCCTAGCCGACGCCCCGAACAAACTCCATACCACTACATCTGCCCACCAGTTTGAGGAAGGGAAAGGCCAGCTTGATCTTTTCTTACAAAGGTCAACTACGGAAGCGAGCACCATTTATTCATACAAGAACGTTCTCGTTGTTGGGGAGCTAAAGCAGTCATGCAATCCAAGCAGGTTTAAGGCGGATTTCCTGCAACTCACCCGCTATGTACGGAGTGTTTTCAATGATCAGCCGACCCGTCGATTCGTTCACGCCTTCCTTCTCTGCGGCTCCATGATGGAGCTTTGGATCTTCGATCGGGCTGGGGCGTATAGTTCAGGGCCTTTCGATATTCAGGAAGAGCCAGACAGGTTTGCGCGGGCTTTGGCCGGCTATTTAACGATGGATTCTGAAGCGATGGGGTTGGATACCTTCATTGAGCGAGTTGCCGAGGGAGAAGAACAACAACGCTACGCCACACTGGAGGATAAGAGGGCCAGGCTACACACGGCAATGTACAAGCAGAATGCCATCGTGTGTTGCGGAACTACCTGGTTTACAACCTACGACAACGAGGTTGTCAAATTCGCTTGGGCATCGGGTAAACGGACATCGGAGGTAGAGCACCTAACGCAAGCAAAGATAATGGTGTCAAAGGGGTGGCTGAAATAGTTGCGCATCACCGAATCACTAGCATTGCAGAAATGCGGAAGGGACTGCAGTTCCCAGCGGCTCACCTGTTTCAGGACGAGAATAGTGACTTTGATGACCTTCCATCGGCCACAAGCACTAATACATCGGGATCCAAGCGCAAGTCGCCGTCCGACGCCACTATCAACACCGCATCCGGATCTAATAAGAAGCAGCGCCCAAGTATCCCCAGAAAGGGGAGCATGCAGCCGCCGCCGTCGACAAGCAAGGCCCTGACCAAGCCGACGCCACCTACGCCTAGCGAGGACCTGTGGGAAGATAGAATCTATTCCTGCCTTGTCATCTCACCAGCCGGGCACGTCATTAGCAAATTTTCCGCGATCAAGCAACTGCTAGAATCAATGCGAGATGCGATCAAAGCGCACCAATCTCTCTACGTCACTGGTAACATTCTCCACCGCGATATCTCTCCAAACAACATCATCATCACGGACCCCGAAACACCACATGACTTCAAGGGCATGCTGATCGACCTCGACATGGCTAAAGTACGAGATAGCGACCCGAGCGGAGCGCGACAAATTACTGGCACAATCCAGTTCATGGCGATTGAAGTAATGGAGAACGTCGGACACACATACCGTCACGACCTCGAATCGTTCTTCTACGTCCTGCTTTGGATGTGTGCGCGCCAATCATGATCTAACGGACTTGCCGGCGGGGACGAGCAAGCACCTAACAAGAACTTGCTTGACCGATGGGAGAAGGGTAGCGATTTCAGTCAAATTGCTCGGAACAAGAAAGGCGACATGTCGTCCAAAGTAATGTTTGAAGATGTTCTGAGTCAATTCCCAGAGTCGTTCAAGGTTTTGAAACCGCTCTGTCACCGTATTAGGAAGATTCTTTTTGGTCCAGAGGGAGTAATGTTCTTGGGAACCCCCGAAGGAGACCCGGACCAACTCTATAAGCCCATTATAGAAGCTTATGATGAGGCCATCGACAAGCTGTAGAGATTATATAGTGGGGGAAGAAGAAAGCGAGACGATGGAAAGGGTGGTTAATTTTCTGTTATTTTAGTTGTAGAAGGGGAAGAAGGAACCAGAAAGAAGGGCAGTCAGTGTACGCATCCAAGCGTCGTCATCAGACATTTAAACCTAGTCTCCAGGCAGTTCCTGAATAACAAAATCCCTAAGCGACTCTGGCAGATGTGTTTTCAAGTCCTTGTAACCCCTATCGCATTTTCGTTGTTGACGTTGGGGTAGGCGGCGGCTGGGAGCGAAGACCGTGAGGCGGCGGATGGGCGTGGTTGTGGTTGGTTAAGGTGTAGGTTGCCTTCGTCTCAAACGACGAAGGGGTCGGGAGGGATTCGAAAGCGAGGATGTGGGCCGTGATCACGATCGCTGCCTGTCTCCTCAAGATCATACTCTTTGGGGTATACCCGGCTAAGCAGCAGACCACTGAGCGGTAGCCGGAGGAGATGACAGTAACGGGGATCACGATGAGTGCCTGCCGAGAAGCAGTCATTGGCCATGGGGCATTGAATACTGACAACTGTCACTTCCTTTCCACGTCATTTGCACGCTCATTCCGGGCCATGTACACTCTATCGCTCTTGCACCGGAAAGGACTCAGCCGTAACGACAGGAAGGAACGGAGCATTTCCCACTTGGTCTATTGGCAGTCGTGTTCTGGCTACCGTTCGTGGTTCGCAGAGGCCTGCAACGCGACGCCAATATGTAAAGATCTCGATTGTTTCAAGAACGAACTTGTGAATTTCAGAACTAAATCGAGTCTTCAGGGTTGGAGAGCACTCGCAACTTGCACACCGAAACAAAGAAAGAAAGTGAAGGGCAAACTGAAACGAACTGGAAGCGATAACGGTGGGACACAGCTGCTGCTGTTGTGAAGGAAGAAGTGATGGATGAGTAGGGTTGAGGCTGAGGGAGAGTAGGGCCCCCAGCAATTACACAAGGCGGAGTCGTGCCAATGGATGAAGGCAGATGTGCAATCTTTAAGCGTTTTCGTCTCCTGGACCTCCTCCTTCATTCAAGTCGGCGTCCGGCCCGTCATCCGGCATCCGTTCCGGGCCCGGTCCACTTTTCCCGGAACCGGGTCTTGGGAGCCCGGTGAGTGCCAATTCTCGATGCGGCCGTACGCCCGGCAATTGGTGACCGGAAATACTGCCATCACTGCACGATCCATGGCAGTTGTCAAACCAAGCCAAATGGAACAAGCCAAGCTGGTTGGGTAGGAAGGCAGACCAAAGGTCGGGAAGGAGGTATTTGCGCCTTTCCATTTGAATTCTTCAAATCTCGACCATTCTGTCGGAAGGCACTTGCTCCTTCCTTCACGGAATTACCCGTATTCTAGAAGTAGGTACCTACCAGTCCAAGTAAAAAGCGATGTCCCTTGCCCTTGCCCTTGCCATTGCACCTGCACGGCACCTGCACTGCACCTGCATTTGATCTTTGTTCTCTTCTTTTCGTCTTCGGCTTCCGCTCACTAACAAGAAAACTCAACGAAGTCACCGGAAACTGTTACTCAGACGGTTGGTTTCCTTTGGCCTATGACTTTCGCTTCGGACTTTGTTCTATTGTTCGCCTTCTACTATTACAACATTGACATGTACGCGGAGTTGACCCCGGGTTAGATTGGTGTGCTTGAGTCCCGGGGGTACTAGTCGAGCTCGGAATAGCTACTGCATCGGAATCGCTCCTTTGAAGTGCATGCCTTGGGTGTTGGGATCGTGATCTCCGTCTGGGGAACTTCCGTCAGGGGAACCAAAAGAACGTGAAAGTGGATTTTGCGGGGAAAGTGGAAACGGTCGGCTAAGTCGGGGTCTCGGGGAAAACTGCTATGTAGGAAAGTGTCCGATGAGCTGATATTGTTCTTGGCTTGGAGCTGAGTGTTCTAGATTTCGGGGTCTTGGAAAGGTTCGAAATGCGAATACGGATGAAGTGAGATTTTTGTTGCTTGTGAAAGTCAATCTTGGAATTTGCCACTCAGGGTTATACAGGCTTACCAACAGTACACGGGGAGCATGTGAAACAATTCAGTCTTGAACGTTGATTGTTGATTGTAGCGATATTGAGTCTAGTAACTCCCATGTGCATACTTTGTCATTTGTGAACTCGCTGTGGCAAGTCCCAGTAACGTATGTGTGTGGTTGACCTTGTCTCCTTAGGTCTTCCTAACGGGTATCCTTGTATGTACTTCTTTCCATCCTTCGAATCCCCCGAGTTGTTCCCATCACTCAAATCCCGTCCCTTTCCTTCCCTGGGTATCCAACTAAATCCACCCATCCATAATCCCCATCCCATCCCATCAACCCATCCATATAAACGTACACGAAATTAGATCATTAAGCTTTTTGGTTTTCCTAATAACGAGTGACAAGAAAATTCTGTGTGTGACTGTGTGTGTGACCATGCCTGTTGCTCAGGTCTGTTGTTCAGGTATTATTGGTATAAAAAAAAGAGAAAAAACTCCCAAGCATAAACCCCGCTTAAAACAGCAACTTATCATTCATCAAGTAGATAACTTCATCTCATACTTTGGACCCCATCCTCTTGAAATCCTCATCTGAATCGGTAACCAACTCGGTTACGCTCTCGGAACTCGCAGCATGCCGTTGTGAGTGATCATCATCATGCGTAAACTTGGTCCCTATCGACGACCCGTCATGCCCTGTATGAAGGCCGTGGTCGGTTGTCGTGGGCTCGTTGAACATGGGCTTGCTCTTGCGAGCAAGACTCCTGTTGATGGCGGTGCCGGCGTTGGCCGACACGGGCTCGAGCTCGTATCTGTCTGTTGTCCCGAGGATGCTGGGGAGCAGCTTGCGGAACAGCAGTCGCATGCTGGGAAGGCAGGGGCAGATGACACCAACGTCGATTTCGATACCGGACCAGATGCAAAGATCGACAATGTCCTCTGTTTTGGGTTAGTGGTTTGTCCCTGCATAATCTTGGTGAAGTGGGGACGTACTGGTTGGGTTCTCGGCCCTGGTAAAGGTGGGAATGGTCTTGAGTCTGATCAAGCTGATAATCATGATACTGTTAAGGGGTTAGTTGTGTTTAGCGCTCGATAATTAAATCCAGTACTTACGCAGCACCAACGCTAAACATCAAAGAACCCATAATCTTCTTCTTCCAGTGGAGGTTGAGAGCAAAGAGCTGAGGGAACGGCAAGACGAGCAACCAAATGTCATAGACGATACCAGTAGCGGCAGCGGACCAGACAAGGGCCTGGACGTTTCCACATTGTCCTTCATGCTCTCCCGACCAATGCAACCAAAAGTCCTGCACGGGGTGGCACTGGAAAATGACGGCGAACAAGAAGCTGACGTTGTAGACGACGTTGAAGGCCATGGTCCAGATAAGAATGCGGCTGAGCTTGTTGTCCGAAGGGAACACGCGCAGGTAGAAGAGAATAATGGACGCTCGGACAAAGAAGCGGGAGATGGTGTACAGCAACATGTTGGCGAAGAATAACTGTAAAAAGCTGTTAGTGGTCCGAAGCAGTCCAAGTACCCAAGATTAGACCTACCCTCAAAACCATGGTAATATCGTCAAACTTGACAAACCAGATATCAATACCATAGCCATGATCGACCGATTTGATGTTGAGAGCCGTGAAAGAGATGCAACCGATGAAGGCGAACAAGTTGCACAAATCATCCCACCAAAAGTAGGCCTTGGTCAACAGACGGGCCAGGACGCGCAAAATGACCGCGAGCAGGGCCAAGCCGATGAAAACGGAAAGGACGGGAATGACGGTGTTGTTCTTCCTGATAGGCTCGTGGCAGAGGAACGAGGTGATGTTCTTGGCGGCTTTGGGCGAGGGTTAGCTTTCGCTGGCTTGGCATGAGCAAGTTGGTTCATGAGAGTTGCTCACTAAGAGATTCCTTCACAGTGCAAGCCCCATGGATACACGCAGCCGAAACATCGCTCATTTGTCGGCTGTGGCATACACAGTCGCCCAGGTCGGGTCGGGGTTGAGTAACGTTGCCGCATGTTCCCACGGAGTTGATGGTGTCGATGAGGCATGAGAGCTATATGGAAAAGACACTGTTCAGCTTGTGATTCTCGGCAGGCATGTCGATGTGGACGCGGTGAATTTGGGTTTCGATGTTGGATGACAGGATAGTATAGAGTCGGTAGTTGGCGACTGGGTATATGCTGGTGCGTGGTGCTCATAGTGTTGGCGTCGGTGTTCTTACAGCGCATTGTGGCAAGCCCTCCAAGGCATCGTTGAGATCGATGGGTGTTGTCTCGATAATTTCTTCGGCGGTGGCGACATTGGTGAAGAAGAAGAATAGACACAGGCCAAGAATGGCAACTGTGGTTCGGAGGGATCCCATGGTTAGGATGGGCCTCTACTGAGGCATGCTCTGACTCTTTGGTTGTTTCGATCACACACAGTCGTCGACGTCGTCGGGATGAGGGTATTCGGAAACCCGGGCACGGGCCGGATTCGTGATATTCGAGCGGAGTATATGGAACGGCGTTTGGCGTAGGGATCAGATAACGAATGACAGAGTTGAAGACACCACACACAACACCAAAGCGTGGAAAAAGAGAGAGAGGAGCAAGAAAGAGAGACTGTGGAACCTCAAAGGGACAGCGGAACCACAGGATTAAAGATGCTCACGACCCTGCCACCGAGACCACCTGCAAGGACGGACGGAGTCGTCCCCAGAGAGGGGAGACTACCGATCGAGCCCCCAGTGTCCCAGGGGTGTTCTGCAGGAGGCAAGGGTGGTTTGAAGGCCTTGTCCGTGGCCTTGTCGAGGATGCTCAGAAGGGCATGGCGAGTGTATGGGGGAGCCATGTCCGCGGTATCATGGAGATGGGCCATGGTGGTGTTGAGAGTGGGACATCGGTGGAGTCCAGTTTGTTAGTGCATTGCAAGTGTTAATGGGGATCAGCGAGGCCCTCTTTTTGAGTGACTACACAGTAGAACCCTTTTGGCCACCGTGCCGTAGCAGCCAAAGATACCTACGGGCTTTGAATCAGGAACTGTCTCTCTCCCCTAAGGCTCATTGCAGGACCTGGCGGATAGGGCCGGACTCTCACAAATGAAAAGGCTGCCATTCCGGAATAAGAAAGAGGTCGGCCACTTTCTAGCATTCTCGGACCTCGTCTGCTCGGTTACCGGGAGTCAAAGCGTTAAGGTCAGGCCAATTGCCCGTTGACGTTGACTGTTGAGAAGATAAACAGTTCATCTCGAGTTTCGATAATGTCTGTATAATGGAATCGCCAGGGGGGAATATCTGCCTAGCAGCTAGCTTGGTTGACCCCCAAAAGGCGACCAAACACTTTTGTCTGAGAGAAGGGAAGATGGCAGATGAAGACTTGCATCATGACCCGCATGGTTGTGGATGCGTTAACAATGTGGACTTTGTGTCGATGTTGATGTGGGATGGGATGGCTCTCAAGGATGGATGGGGATGGAATGTCGAAACGAAATGTGGGATGTGAGACAGGAATTCAGCATCTTTCCTTGGTGTGTTCCCGTCAGGGCAAGCGGCTGTGAAAGAGATCCAGCTGCCAAGAGACTAGTCGACTGACCGATCAGGACTGCCAAGGACCGACATGGACTGTCAGATTGGCAAGCGGAGCCCTTTTTTTTTCTCACTGATGGTGTCCACTCTGTCCCACATGCCACTAGTTTAACCCCTCCAACGATTGGCGAACTGAGATTGACGACAGGTTCTGCGGTCTCGGTCCGTGACCCCTCTTCATCGGTACGTACCTTTTTGTGTGGTCAATTTCTTGCATTGGATGCCGTGCGTCTGCGTCTTTTCACATTCTGCATTTTCGTTGGTTTTTTTTGAAGGCGATGATCAGATGTCATCGCACTTCGGGACGGGGCCTCGGTGGAGATTGTTTCTTTTTCGTAACAACAACGACAACAAAAAGAGGGGAAATCAGAAGCAGGAACAGAACACCTACACGTACATATAACATATGTAAGGTACAATTGAAAAACCATTGTGTGCCTGAACATCTATCCCGTCTGCAACCTGCTGTGTATATGCCGAGGCGTATTTACAGATAGGGCAACACAGGCGAACGCGACGGCAAGTCCATGGATAGTTTCAACCACAACGTCGGATGCAACAGAGTTACCTTAGTTGAGGTCTCAGAACAGGTCTCAGACCCCTTTTTCTTGGAGTTTTTACCAGCAGTTTGGTTTCTCGGTCATTTTGCATTTCAACCGGCGTCGTCCATCAATTCCTGTCTTGGTCTGTGCCAATGATCATCACCGTTCCCAGTCATCGACCCCAAATCAAAACCGAGGATTTTCACACGCTCACGAGATCGTCAAAATTCAATGATTTTCACCCAGAGTGGTCCAGGTGGAAAGCATGTCGCTTCCGCTTAACATCCTCCCATGCAAAGTACTACACGTATCAGGCCAATGCAAATACTTGACGATACACGTGCACTCCATCTCGACGACGATGTTCACCAACAACGGACGCTAAAGCATTTGACGCCAAGCATTCGCAAACTAGGGTGAGCCACGTTTCTCCCCCAGATCTAACCTTTTTCCTCCCACATCGTGATGGAGTCAAGTTCAATCCCCCCCTTGGGATCCTCCCTCCACCCTGGCATGACATCCCAACTTGTGGTGGTTTGGGGGTTGTGAGCCCTGACTGCTGAGCCCTGATAATCAGTAGTAGCAGGCCCTGATTATCATACCAAGCCCTACGATCATGCCCACAACAACAGTGAATGTAACGCTGTACCACACGAGCAATGACACGTACACCTGCCTGCATTGGTAGTCGGAATCGCAGATTATCTCTCGAGCGAGCTATCTTGTGGCAATTTCCTATGAGGAGAGTCTCAGTGTTAGGTATGTGGTATCGTGAAACAGCTTGATATTGTGCCATCACCAACATTTGGTACACAGCACACAGCATACGTATACACTACACTTGGCATAATGTCGGCGTTATCCAGGTGATTGTCAAGGGCTAGCAACCCGATCGCGACGCTGATGTGAACAGAGGTGGACAGGGGGACAACGAAAGAAAAAAGACCCCTTCTTTGCATTTGGCCCCCCTCCTCGAATCCGACCCCGGTTAACTCCGACGAGCCGTTGCCATTCATCCGTTGCAGGCACCCACGCAGCCCATGCAGCCCACGCAACACACCCCTCGACGGCACGGCTTCGTTCCCCTCGTGGTCCCTTTCCCTCGTGTGTCTGTGATGTTCCCTTTCCATGCATGGAAGAGGAAAGATTTTCCTCTGCAACCAGGTCTCCGGGAAAGCTCAAGTTCTGGCCTGTCTTGGGGTGAGCTGTCTGGTCGCCGACTCGCCGACTTGCTAACTCTGACAGTCAAGACAGCAACGTTAATATTTAACAGGGCCGAACCCTCGTACTTATATGGCAGTTGCCCGAATAAAACCTTTCACCATGGCATGCCTGGTCAGCTCGTACATACCTTGTACGTAACCAGTTCATTTGGCAGACGGGCAGCGTCTTGCGACTATTTGCTTATGGTCAAACATCGGCTACCCAGAGGTATATGGGGACCATGTTTAGGCGGATCCATGGCACTAACACTTCCCCTCGAAGCCATCACGCTACTGCTGTTAGCACGATTTCTCATCACGATCCCTCCTTCCGTCGCTTCCCTCATGGCAGGCAGGCACCGCCGCCAGGCACCGCCAGGCACCTGCCAAACCACGAAAACATGGGGCAATCGCAAAAGTGGAGGACGGAGGGGAGTCCATCACCAACCTCCACACTGTCCACCACACCTCAAAAAAGAAACAGACAAGCCGATGAACCGAGGTTTCATCTTGGCAACTTTTTGGCCGACGGGAATACCATGTGCAGTTGAAGAGTATCTTCTCAACGGAAATATCTTCCCACGATGCCCTTACAAGTTCTTTGCTCTCACTTCGTTTCGGCCCCTCTTTTTCCCTTGACACCAGTTGCTGTCCACTTCCCGTTTACTAACTTCCCGTCACAAACCGACTGTCAGTGTAAGCGTCGCCATCGCGGTCCCGCTGCAGCCAGTTCTCCCGCTCATCTCTACTCCGTTTCAGACAATTCCATTTCGCCATCTAACCGAGTCCCATTCCGCTTTCTGTCGGATCTGTTGATCCTATCTGTCTATCTTATGTCCAACAACGGACTATAGAAGAGCTATCGCCTTGACCTTTCGATCCAAGCCTCCCAACTCACCGCGTCTCTCATCGAGTCAGTTGGACCATGGTTCTCACCACAGCACAGCCTCTACGCGGACATGGGCTTGGATGCCCTCAGCTTTCCAAAGTTGTGATGCTCGGATCGACTTCCAGAATTGGATAAGCTTCGGTTACCACTCCAGCCCACTCCAGCCCATTGTAGCCCACTGCAATGGTGCTAACGCTGCTAAGCTAGCTTGCTGACGGACTGCAAGGTACCGGCGCAACTTAACCGTCGACCCAGTCTTGCGAACTGCCAAAAGGAGTTAATCCGGCCCAGACGCCATTTGTCTGGCACCTGCATGTCGACATTGAACAAGTGAAGCTACTGCATTGCACTGCATATCCATGTGTCATGCACATCGCACTCGCCTACGGATAGCGTGTCTTCTCAGTGGTTGAAGGGCTGCCAAGGAACAAGAGCGTTGTGGGCCCTTGATGAAGGCTCAGAGGAGAACGAACAATGGACACAGTGAGAACTGCCCGAGGACGAGGTTTCAGTCCGGAGATCGCTTCCGATTCTCTTCCTTTTTTGTCACTGTTCTTGTGTCCTAACAGTCTTAGGGTTGTCTTCAGCCTCCGTCTTTAGCAGCTGCTAGCAGTCTAGTCCGCTGTTAGAGCTGTCCATCAACATGAAACCAGTGCTTTCATTTCGTTGCCGAGTCCTTTTTCTCACAACTATCACGGGGTCGGTAAGCCCTAGATGTTAGCCGACAACAAATCACCGGTGGTCACCAACAAGCGATGACGAGCCTACGACGACTATCGATGTCTTGATACGATTCTAGGGTAAAAATGTGAAGAGGCATCTGCCCAGGCGGCCAGGCACGAACTATCAATTCCAAATGTCCGACCACAATGTCCGTTCAATCACAGTCATAGTGGCAGGGCAGGATAGGGCAAACTTGCAAGAGCCACAGCATGGGTACTATACTCTCGCTTGTCACTCGGTTCGGAATTGTAGTGTACACTATCCCACAATTACCCCCTCATCTAGCATTTATCTAGCATTTTCCTCGCTCTTTCGACGTATCGGAAGCCACGACCAAAAAGCCCAGGAAGTTGAAGAACCACCGCAGCGTCCCAGCGTCCCAGCGCCGTGTCCCAGCACCCGCCAACGCGTCCATCCATCCAACAGGATGGCGGCTCGAACGGGACTCGGAAAATTCTGCGACCACAGAAAGGGTTCCGAGCTTCGGTTCATCCAATTAGCATATCGTGTTCGTTCGTCTGTCTACAGTATGGGTGCCTACCGAGCCGTTGTTGCTACCGCTATGACAAAAAGCAAAACCAAGTATTCTGGATGTTTTCTACGCCACCTACCGGCTACCGGCTACCCTTCACCGGCTTTCGAAATACAAAAGGTATGGTAGCGAATTCTTGTCACTGTGATGATACAATGATGCGGTGATGCAAGTGAAATACCGAACCGAAACATATACCGTAGTATACATGAAGAAAAGGAGTTGGCCGGTTGCAGTCAACCATCAACCAAACCTTCATGATCTCTTGACACTTTTTGGTATACCCGCTTTGCCGGAGTTCCGGAGTTTTTAATCGACTACAACACGTGGCTAAGAAATTGCATTTCCTCGATTCAGTGCGGAAATCACTTGTCGCCAGGCACCTTGCTCGCCAGGCCCCGAATCC